AGATGAAGCCAGGGGTGCCCGGTCACATGAAAGATCAGACCCAGACGGGGGCTCAGCATGGGGCAATATCAAAGTCAAAAATTATGATCATTTTGCCACCTGAAAGTGCTTTTCCTCTGTTTTTCTCTCCCTCCCAGGTCCCCTCAGAGAAAAGATAAGGACTCGGAATGAAGGGTGGGGAGGGGGCAGCAAGGGTCCTTCGGGAGTCAGTCTGTAGATCTAAGCAACAAGCACAGCCCAGAGTACCTTCCCCTGTCCTGTTCTGAAGCAGGGTTCCAACTCCTTATAAAGAGCAACTCAGACTTATGCCCATACTTCATATTCTCCAGCTGGATAATGATTTTCCCAAAGAACCATCATTAAACTGTGTAATAACTGCAGGCCTGACCCCAGAACCGGATCTTCACATGGACCATGGGAAGTTTGGAGGCGAGTCTACCCCGAAGCCTTGTGGACCACGCATCTCCAATGTGTTGGCCGAGGGAGGCAAGAAGCAGAGAAGAGGTTCCAACCATCAGCCACCTGGGAGGTGAGTAGCAGAGAACTGGCCAGCACGAGCCTTCAGGGGCCTGGAGGGATGTACAAAAATCACTTCCAGAAATCTTCAGAACAGTGTGGTTCCCAGAAAAGCACAGTGATTCTCCCCATGAAATTTCTTTTCAAACTAGACTATAAAACCCCACTTCACACCTACACCTCCAGTCTAATTGGGGTGTGACTTCCAAACCACTAACAAAAAGAAAGAAATGCAATTTGCCATCACAAGTACAAGCTAATTGAGGGGTACATCCATGAGCCTGTCCGTCACTTTGACATGCCCTCTGTGACTAAGCAGCAAACAGCCACCAGCAGCAGAAACGCCCGCCATCTCCAAGACAGAATCCCACACCCACCAGACGTCTCCCAGCTTCTGTGGGAGGTGCCAGGTGGCTCCCAAGAAACCTGTGCAGCCTGCTTCAGGACCAGCCAGAGGGAATCAACTTAGAACTGGGGAAGGGGGTCAGTTCTAGAGCAAGACAGATGTCACAGGGCAAGACTGGGTGACCTAGCGTAGGGCTGAGTGATCTAGGGCAAGACTGAGTGACCTAGGGCAGGGCTGGGTGACCTAACGCAAGACTGGGTGACCTAGGGCAGGAGGGGGGTGACCTAGGCTAAGACTGGGTGACCTAAGGCAGGATTAGGTGATCTAGGGCAGGACTAAGTGTCATAGGGCAGGACTGGGTGACCTAGGGCAGGGCTGGGTGACCTAGGGCAGGGCTCGGTGATCTAGGGCAGGACTGGGTGATCTAGATGGTCCACACTCACTGGATGAAGAAATTGAGTCTCAAAGAGGTTTAGTAACCCCTTACCCCTCCACATCCATGTCTGGAAGACAGTTTGGTGGTTTCTTATAAAACTAAACCTGCTCTTATCATATGAACCAGAAATGTACCCCTTGGTATTTAACCAAAAGAGCTGAAAACATGTCCACACAAAAAACTTCACAGAGATGTTTACAGCAGCTTTATTCACAACTGCCAAAACTTGGAAGCAGGCAAGATGCCCTCAAGTAGGTGAATGGATAAACAAATGGTCGTCCCTCCAGACAATGGAATGTCATTCAGTACTAAAAAGAAATGAGCTATGAATCCATGAAAATGGAGGTACATGGAGGAACCTTAAATGCATATTACTAAGTGAAAGAAGCCAATCTGAAGAGGCCTTATATACTATATGATTCTAACTCCATGCCATTCTGGATACAGCAGAACTATGGAGACAGTAAAAAGACCAGTGGTTGGAGGATTGGGGTATGGGAAGAACAGGGGGAGCACAGAAGACTTTTAGGGCAGTGAAACTACTCCGTATGATCCTATCATGATGGACACAGGTCAGTGTACATTTGTGCAAACCCATGGAGTGTGCAAAACAAAAAGTTAACCTTAATGTAAACGAAAACAATGTCCAGATTTGGCAATTTCCATCTCACAGACCAGAGCCCCATGAATGAAGGTGGAGGGTGGGGGCAAGTCCCCTGAAGGCTACACAAGCCAAAAATTTGTACTGTTATTATTTCTCCTAGCCTTTCCCCAAAGGGACCTATGGCCTCTGCTAGGATGACTGTGCACCAGGGAAGAGGAAATAATGACATTTTTCAGTGGTTACCAAACATTGACTCTGGACTGACACTAACACCAGGAAACTCAAAACGTCACTATGGTCCACCAGTCAGAGAGGGGCTTATAGGAATCAGGTTATCAGATTCATCCTGGGGGTATTTCCCCAGTTCCGGAACCCGTAACTGGAACAGACACACTCAGCAGTCAGCAGAACCCCCACACTTGTTCCCTGACTTGCAGAGCCAGGGTTATTCTGGTGGGAAAGGCCCTAGGACTGCCTCTCCTTACAAAACCATATACCGTATACCAAAAGCAGTTCTGCATCCCTGGAGGGGGTGATCAGTGGGAGAATCGTGCCACCATCAAGGATGTGAAGGGTGCAGGGGTGGTGACTGATACCACACCCCATTCAATGCATCTAGTTGGCCTGTGCACAGGACGGCGGATGGTGGAGAAGGGCAGCGGGTTATCAGGAACTGACCCGGGGGTGAGTTACCCAGCTGCTTGCTGCTACAGCAAATGTGGTCTCCCTGATAGAGCCAGTGAACATAGCATGGGACCCACGGTGCAGCTACTAGTCCAGTGAGTGCATTCCCTACGCCCGAAGTCAAGACCACCAGAAGCGTCTGCTCTCACTGGGCAAGGCCAGCAATGCATCTTCCCTTTGCTGTCATGGGTCTCTCAACCCTACAGCCCCCTGCCAGTATCTGGTCCTCAGGGGCCTTAATTAGCTCTCCTTTGCACAGGACATCATGCACGGGACATCAGTACATTTACAACATTGGGCTGATTGGACCTAATGAGCAGGAAGTAGCAACTATCCACATCTCTGGGTAAGATATTTGCACACCAAAGGATGTCAGTGGCAGACACGGATGATGGGGTTGCAGCCTTCGAAAGGCCCCTATAGGGCACCTGGGTGGCTCAGTCGGTTGAGCGGCTCAGGTCCTGATCCCAGGCTCCTGGGATCAAGCCCCGCATTGGGCTCCCTGTTCAGCAGGAAGCCTGCTTCCCCCTCTCCCACTCCCCCTGCTTGTGTTCCCTCTCTCGCTGTCTCCCTCTGTCAAGTAAATAAATAAAATCTTTTAAAAAAAAAAGAAAAGAAAGGCCCCTATAGGTGAACTACAGAGCAGACCCTCAGGATTTTGGAGCAAACCATGACGTCCTCTGCAGATAGCTACTCTCCTTTCAAGAAACTGCTTCCGGCCTGCTACTATACCTTGGTCAAGAACGAACGCTCGACCATGGTCCTCCAAGCTACCACCCGACGTGGCTATCATGAACTAAATGTTGTAGGACCACAGGCGCTTTGCAGCTCGCGCACATCGTTGCCCCCCTGCCCACTCACTCTGACCTGCAGCAGCGGCCCTGCTCCCCCAAGGCCCCATTCAGCCTCCCCAGCCTCTGGGAACTGTGTCTTCAGCTCCCTGATGAGGGCCCGGCTTCTGCAGGACACCTCACCCCCAAGGTCAAGGCCCCCAGAACAGTCATGGACTGTCCCTGTCCTTGACCTCCAACCTCACACCCACCGTCCCTCCTCACTGTCTCCCTGCAGATTCAGGCCCCACGAACAGCAGCTTGGTGGGGACACTCCATCATCTGCCACAGCTGTACACAGCCAAACCCCTGTAACTGACCGTGTACGTGGTCTGCTTCCCTGACTGAACCCCAGGACAGCTGGTGCTCCCGGGGGAGAGGGTGCCACAGTCCAGTGACTTCGAGTGAATGAACAAACATAATTCTTTTTTTAAAAAGATTTTATTTGAGAGAGAATGAGCAAGAGAGAGAGCACGAGCAGGGGGAGGGGCAGAGGGAGAAGCCGACTCCCCGCTGAGCCTGACGCAGGGCTCGCTCTCAGGACCCCGGGATCATGACCTGAGTCGAAGGCAGAGGCTTAACCAACTGAGTCACCCAGGCGCCCCTGAATTAACACAATTCTTTCCTGCAGAACTTTCTGGTGTGTTAGCCAGCCAGTGTACATTATGAACATTCAAAAGGAGGAACAGAGCAAGTACAGTTTCCCAAACTTACTGGACCACAGACCTTCTTTTCTTTATGGAGCCACTGATAAGCCCTGTAGGATTTGATGAAGAAAGAATGTAGGGGCTCTCCTGGTCCCTCACTTCCGGGCCTGGGCCCCCAGCAGGGACATTCAGGTACTGACCGTGCAATTCCACTCCCAAGAACTTCACCCCCAACCCTCACCCAACACCATGGCGATGTTTGCAAGTCAGCTCCTGTCCAGACTCTAAGGGTACAAGGAAATAGGGCTTCACCCCAGCAGGAAGAACAGGTCACAGTAATGCTAAGCATGCTGACGTAGCTTCCCCTCCATCGTAAAAATTATATACATAATATTAATTACATATATGACAATTATACATAATAATTTTCAAATTATTGTAATTTATAAAATTATCTTCTTAGCACCCCTGTGAAGTAAACAGATAACAGCAATCTCCTGTGACAGAACTGTATAACAGAAACTTGCATAATGACAGTATGTAGAGGCAAACTGATATTCTGGAGGCCGGTCGGCCACTGGGTTGGATGTGGTCAGGTGGGCTTGAGCAGGCTGCCCAGAGGCCTCCTGGTGCCCACCCGGCCACTCCGCAGGTGTTTTGGACTCTCTGAAGCAGGGACGAAACTGCTGTGGCTCCCGCACGCGCAGAGGCAAGCCAGGGCCACGTCCAACGCACGAAGGAAACGCCCACCGAACATTCCATGAACAAGCCTCCTTGCTCCCAGTCTGCTTCTCTCTATTGCAACACTGGCCGATTTCGCCCTTTTCTAATTCCTTGCCACCTAAGAGGCCCACGGTTTCCAAGGAGCACTGAGTGCAATCACAGCCAACAGAAGTGTGCCAGTCTCAGGACACAGTTTTGGGCCAAGCCCGCCTACCTGTACGGGAGAGCTTCTGCAGGGTGGCGGTCAGGTGCTGCAGAACCAGCGGTGACACTTCATAGCGGTCTATGTCTATCACTGGAACCTTCTGGCACCTTCCAAACACTCCGTCTGTGGGGAAAGGGAGGCAGAGAAGAAAGAGAAAGTGACATTTCGTTTTCAGAGAGAAGAAAGGTATTAAACACATCCTTGCAATATATTCTAATTATGCACCATGCTGAGGCTTTGGAACATGGCTTGAGAAAGTCATCAAAACGCTATCAGAATTCAGAAGCACTTGGAAAGTAATGGTTTATTTAAATAAAAGAGCATCATGGAAAACACAATTGCAAAGGTATAGAGAAAAGGACGTGAATGCAGTCGTTTGCGTTTTCGATTCTATTTCACATCCGTTGCCCCCTCGCCTCCCCCACCTCTCACTTTTTATAATTTCCTGCCCGTGGCTTTCACCTTTCTGATGTGAAGCTTTGCTTCTGACAGTCCCGTGACCAAAAAAAAATCAATAACATTCAGGGCCAGTTTTCCAGATGAGAAACAGAACACCCAAGAAATATAAATATTAATTTGCAGAAGCCATGAGGGCTATGGAAGCGTCTGCCACGCAGGTGCCATGTTGGAGGGGGCTGGCAAACGGGGGGCAGACCCAGGAATGGCAACAAGGCCCATTTCAAGGGGCGCTTTCAGCAATGTGGCAGAGGAGAGGTGCTCCCGGAACAGGAGACATGAGCAGGGACCAATTTATCTAGCTCTGTTCCATTTGTCTAAAATGACAGACTCTGCTCATCATCTTTTCAAACCACACCTTCTAATTAATTTAGGCCCCAATTAGTCTTTATTCGGCAAATTGTTCACTTTGAAATAAGCTTCCTGTAGGGGGTTCAAACATCCAAATTACTGTCTTTCGTACACACAAAAGACTAATTCAAGGGCCAGTGTGTGATACACAGGGCGGCCATCTGCAGTTTCAGGCCCGGACGGAAAGGGGAAGCACTTCTTTATTGTTCACGATGGGCTCATTGCACGAAGTGTAGCTGAAGAAAGCCATTCAAATGCAACAAGTTTAATTAGCAGAAACACATTTGCCCAGTGCCAGGCTGACTCAGTAATTACTGGTCTGATATTACATATGTGCTTCAGACGGACGGTGCTGTGTGATTAGCAGAAAATCTTCTTAAGTATCGAAAGGATATCGTGAATTTCTACGAGACTCTGCAAAGCTCACAGGATCTGGGAAGACAACCTGCACAGCCGAAGTCAACCTTCTGCCGGCCATCGCCACCGCACTGGGCTCCGTGGCACTCTGTCTGAGCAACTCCCTTCAATTAACACAATGGCCACCTTGGGCCAGAGTGATTCCCAACGACAGTTCTCTTGGAGGGAGGGCCTTGTCCCCCGTCACCACCCAGGGAGACAGGCAATTTGCTCCACACAAACACAGACAGTAAGTGTCCCTGTGCTTTTGATTTTATTTTGTGCAAAGAACACCATGCCTGTGGCTGGTGTGTTGATTGGGGCGGGGGAAAGCAGCTAAAAAACAAGGACTCTTTAGAATGCACCTAAAACTTCCAATTTCCTTTGCAAATGGAGTATCTTGAGAGTAAAATCATAATGCACGAGGACTAGAAGGAGCATGAAGATGGTCTGACCCCACATTTTACAGATGAGCATCGTGACCAAGGCCATAGGAGGAAGAGAAATCGGGTTCCTGACTCCCTCCTGGCTGGAGTCCTCATCAGTGAAAAGCAGCCAGACATTTCCTACTTATTTTGGAGCATCCCAAATGAATTAATTCCCTTCCGAAGTATAATGGCATCATTCTTTCAATTTGATTTACGCTGTACAATACAATGTCATCAATATATTTTCAGAAAAATATTTATTGGATTTTCTTGAAATCTTTCTCTTAAACATGAATTTAAAACACATATATATAATGTAATACAGAGTATTTTTTGTGTTTTTAAGATTAGTTTTAGCCACTAATTTAGTTTTGATGATTTGAAAGTCGAAACTAAACTAACCATTGATTCTCTTTGCCCCTAGACTACAACCTTGCTGATGAGGTAGGACAGACCTTTCCCCAGTACATTTTTTTAAACTTTATTTTTTAAATAAACCTTTTTTATTATTTAATTTATTTATGTGAGAGAGAGTGTGTGTGAGTGCGGGAAAGGGCAGAGAGAGAGGGAGGCTGACACAGGGCTTGATCTCACAACCCCGAGATCGTGACCTGAGCCGAAATCAAGAGTCGGATGCCCAACTGACTGAGCCACCCAGGTGCCCCAAATAAAGTTTATTTTTATCATTTTTTAATTTTGATTCTATCTATTTGACACAGAGACACAGCGAGAGCAGGAACACAAGCAGGGGGAGTGGGAGAGGGAGAAGCAGACTCCCCACTGAGCAGGGAGCCCGATGTGGGGCTCGATCCCAGGACCCCGGGACCACGACCTGAGCCAAAGGCAGACGCTTAACGACTAAGCCACCCACACACCCCTAAACTTTATTTTTTAAAGCAGTCTTAGATTCACAGCAAAACTGAAGGGAAGGTACAGAGATTTCCCGGATACCTCCTGCCCTCACATATGCATACACATTCCCATAATCAACAGCCCCTGCCAGAGTGGTAATTTGCCCAAGTGACGAGCCTACGTTGATACATCATTATCACCCGAAGTCCATAGTTTGTATCAGGGCCATTCTTGGTGGGGACATTCTATGGCTTTGGACAAATGCACAATGGCATGTATTCACTATTTTGGCATCACACGGAGTACTTTCACTGCCCTGAAAATCCTCTGTGCTTCACCGGTTCATCGCTCTGCCCCTCCCAGCCCTGGCAACCACTGGCCATTTGACTGTCTCCACAGCTGTGTCTTTACAGCTCCAGAGTGTCACAGTTGACCCTTGAACAACATTGGTTTAAACTATGTAGGTCCACATTTAGACAGATAATTTTTTTTAGAAATACAGTACTTGTGTGTGCATGTGTATCTACGTGTGTATCTACAGTGCACACATGCATTGTTTTCATGAATGTGTGCTTCTGTGTCTGCGTGTCTGCATGTGTCTGCGTGTCTGCATGTCTACATGTCTGGCTGTCTGTGTGTGTCTGTGTGTGCACGTCTGCATGTGTCTGCATGTGTCTGCGTGTGTCTGCGTATCTGCGTGTGTCTGTGTGTCTGCGTGTGTTTGCGTGTGTCTGCGTATCTGCGTGTCTGCGTGTCTGCGTGTGTCTGCGTGTCTGCATGTCTGCATGTCTGGCTGTCTGTGTTTGTCTGTGTGTGTCTGCGCGTCTGCATGTGTCTGCGTGTGTCTGTGTGTGTCTGCGTATCTGCGTGTGTCTGTGTGTCTGCGTGTGTTTGCGTGTGTCTGCGCATCTGCGCGTCTGCATGTGTCTGCGTGTGTCTGCGTGTCTGCATGTGTACGTGTGCCTCTACATGTGTCCTGCACGGTTATGCATTTGTTTTCATGTGTTTTGTGCTCTGCACGTGACATGTATGTGTGTACATGCACACACAGCCTCGACTGTTTGTTAAACTGCCAAACTCAGTGTGAGAACCCAAGGGTACTGCTATTCCAACATCATAAGTTCATCTAGGAAATAGATGTTGTTAATACCTCCTTAACAGAAACCTGATTTCCATATTTATTACTCAATAAACAATTCACTAGCTTTCTCTGTGTCCTCTGGAGGACTGTGTGCACACTCTCATCAACACACTTAGCATTATCTCCAGCCCCATATCTGCTGTGCATTTGCGAGTCCATCCCTGCCCAGTGTTCTGCCTTGCACCCCAACCTTGGCAAATGCACAGCTCTGCTCTAACGTCACCTGCTGGACAGATGGAATACTGTGGGACATGCTTCTGGGGCAGAAGTGGACATGCAAACTATTCACGCACGATTGTGATACAGAATACAGAGGAACATGCTACAGGGCAGCATGAAGAAGGGGCACTGACCTCATGCAACATACAAAGGCCCCAGGAAAGTGGCATCAGGTTGGGCTCCAGCATTTACAGAATGGGGTTGCCTACATGGGGCTGGCAAGGACATCTAGGTAGGGGGGGCAGGCTCTGTGGAGGGCAGGAAGCCCCCGATCCCTAGAGCTCTGGGACCTAGGGACTGAGCTCCAAGATGTGATGAAGCAAGTCAGACAAAGCCTGAGGGTGTGGGGGCCTTCCTCCCAGGAGCTGCTAGGACCTTACAGGCTGGTTTTCCATTCTGCCAGGAGCCACGGGGTGAAGGGAGCTGCCTGTCCACAGGAGGGTGGTTCAGCGAGGCTGGCCACCATGGAAACAAGAGAACCGGATAGATCTGCAGCCTTTTCAGAGGGGAACCCGTGGGATGCCAATGCTGCTCAGCTGCAGGGGAGCCCCTTCCATGTGTCTGTGGCACAGAAAGGTTCTAGGGTTCGAGCAAATATTCTGAGAGATGGCCCAGAGAACATGTGTTTTTCCAAAGCAGTAACAAAGCTGTCTTGCTGCCAGCTGGGAGAGGTGGGGAAACAGACGCCCCAGCGGCGCCCAGGGGTGAGACTGCACCCTTCCTTGGGGAGGTCACCTCCCAGAGGTGATTTTTTTCTTTGCTGGATTTCTGGAAGAATGTGAGAAAACAGTCTGTTTATATTGTCTGTAGGTGTGTTGTAACCAGTGTTCCCTGGAGCATTACTCCCACAGGCAAAAGTCATTTTCACTCATAAACATCATTGTCCCCTAAACACTGCTGGAGGCCAGCGGCGACGCCCTCCTCCTGGACCACTTCTCCCTTGCTCTGTGGGGCAGTGCGTGTCCCCAGGCTGCACAGCATACATGTGTGCACACACTCACATGCACACACCTCTCCACATCCCTCTGACACTGACTTCTCCTCGCACCTCAGGGCACCGTGGGCTCCTGGGCGGCAAGCATCCAAGCTCCGCCTCTTAGAGCTCCCGCATCTGACACCGTCCTCTGCACCCACAGTGGGTTCAATAAATATTTGTGACTGATTAACTGGTGTTTTTCCATTTGCCTGAAAAAAAGCTGAGATGCCCACAGAAATTTATAGCACCATTAGCTAGCATCCTAATTTGCTGGAATCTCACACTGATTTACAAGTCTACAACT